CAATGATCTTGAGAGTACATGTAATGAAATTAATAAAACAGATCTTACGTTACAAGATTGTGGGCAGCAATATCCTGACATTGGTACAAAATTAGATGATTTTAGAACTAGCCGTGAGGAACTCGAAAATAGACGTAAGGCACTTCAGGAAGAGCTCGAAGAGGTCGAACGTAAACTAATAAATAATAGCACGAAGATGCAAGAGGTTGAATATGAGAGAGGTAGGGTCGAAGGAATTGAGAATCAAAGGGCACTGCTGCTTCAAAACAGAAAGAATGCTGACGAAGTGTTAAAGACATTGATGGATAAAGTTGATAAATCGACCAAACCTAACCAAGAAGAAACAGTTAAATCATCAAGTAAATCAGTTGATAAGAATGCAAATGGAAAGCGAAATGTACCTACTGAAATAATGTCTCCGGAAACGCTCCTTAAAAAGACTAAGCTTTCTTCGAGTGTTCCTTCCGAAGAAATGGACCAATTGAGACAAAGACTAGAAAACGTTAGTAGAGAGCATCAAGAAATCCGACAAAACATTGTGACCTTAAGCACTCGGAAGGTAGGTGCCACACCTAATCCTTCCGATTACACAACCACTACTTTAGCAGAAATGGACCCCGTGCCTGAGGGCATTTCAGCGCACTCTGTTGGAAAGATTCATATTGTTGATGGTGGTGACACGGTTGACGAAAATGTTTACGCAGTCACAAGCGCCACAACTGACCACCTGTCCGAGACATCTACCAGCAACATCAATAATAATGCTGCCATCAATAACAGTACTTCTAGAGCCTATGAAAAACATACACCAGTTGTGGTAGTTATTTAGGTTTGCGTTTATATCGTATTCATTTTACTCCGAATTTAGTACAATGTATTAATGAATTAAACGATTTTAAGTGGAGCGATTCCGATGATAATCTTGCTTCCGAAGCGGATGAAGATCCTTTTGAATCCTATCGTTCTATCAGATTGTGCAAAAATTCGAAGCAAAAATCACATTCGCTTACATATAGCAACAAGATTCATCCTGATCGCAAGTTATGCATGTTTGAGACTCAA